CTCTCTCTCTCTCTCTTTCTCTCTCTCCTCTCTCTCTTCTCTCTATTCTCTCTCTCTGCTCTCTCCTCTCTCTCTCACTCTCCCTCTCTCTCTCTCTCTCGCTCTCTCTCTTCTCTTCTCTTCTCTTCTCTTCTCTCTCTCTCTCTCTCTCTATCTCTCTCTCTCTCTCTCTCTCTCTCTCTATCTAGTCTCGGCTCGAGAGTGCTCTGCACTCAGACCGCAGCCGCGACGCGAAGCGCCCCGCCTCGGAGTCAGACTCCCAGGCCTCGCGAGACCGGAGGGGTCCCAGCAGGGCCCCACTGATTCGCGTCACCTCTCCGCACCAGAGTGCCCGCAGCAATGGCCCCCAAGAAGCCGGAGCGCCGTCGCTCTTCAAAGCAGCCTCCGAGCTCCCGTCCCACGCGCCCTGCTGCTGAAGGGTCCCTCCTTCAACGCAAGCAGGACTGCATCGCAGCGTTCAAGCAAGCGGGGTCTGACCGCCCCACGGCCGCATACAACGGGCTAGCCGAACTGAACGCGGACGAGCTCCAGGCAATGTACGACATGCACAAGTCCAACACGAAGAAGCTTGGCAGCGCCCTTATCCGCATGTGCGCCGCCAACCAGATTAGCTACACGCTCGATCATCACCAGCGCAGCAAGCCTAAGCGCACTGGCGGTGACACATCGCACCCACCAGCGGGTTCCGCGCGTCTTCAGGCTGCGGACACCCAATTCATGGACCCTGCCTTTTGGAAGGTCCCTGTCCTTGCCGAACCCACCTCGCCTGACGACGGCAAGACGTACAAGCCCAGCATCAGCCTCCACGACTACGAGAGTGGTGAACGGCTGCTGCAACACCACCTCGAGCAGGGCAAGCGAGCCACGGGTCAGCTCGCGATTGCTGTCATGGGCCCGAAAAACGACAACTACGTCGGTACCGAGCTCGCCGTCCCCGTCCTGAAGCGTCACCCCAAGGCGCCCAAAGTGGTCCACACGCACGTCCCCGTGACCGTGTACCAGCTGGGCACCAAGGAGGTCGCCTGCACGGAAAAGGTAGCCGTCGCCACCATCGACCCTGCCGACCACGTCTGCTGGATTCGGGCGACCATACACGAGACCGAGGCCATTGCCGCAGTCCCCTCCATGCACCAGGCCTTCGAGGACCAGTTCTCGGGAGGTGCCCCCGTGAACGGTGGTCCACGCGCCAAGGGCCCTTTTCGAGGCGACTCCGCTCCACAGGACAAGGCGCGCCAAAAGCACAAGGAGTCCAAGAAAGACGCTCGCCGCCAGGAGCTCGATGGCCAGCTCCAGGACACCTTCAAGGCCCTCTTCCACGGCAACTTTAAAGCCGTCACCATCCTCGAACCCTGCAAAAGCCTAGGCAGGTTTGGATCGGGCGTCGGAAAGAGGTCCCTGGCTGCCACCTTCGGCGTCAGTCTCCAAGCGGTCGACAAGGTCCTGGCGGGATCAGGGCAACTCGGTGCCACCTACGACCTCAGCAACGTAGGTGCAGACGAGCCCACCGCCGACAAGTATCAGACCGTTTGGTTCCCTGAGGACCAGCCCATCACGATGGCAGACGCGTTCCAGAAGTCGGTGGAGTTCAAGGCCCTGGGAGTCGTCAGGCACGGCAAGTCAGGCCTACTGGGGATCCGTGTTCCGCGGGGGTCCGACGTCGCCAAGGCCGCTGCTGTCAGCATCCGCGGCTGCGAGGCTACCCTCGCCAAGACGCGCTACCGCATCACTGGCATTGCGGCACGCCACGCCACGCTGACCCAGCTCGCCAAGACTCTCACGGGCCCGTCCGTTAAATGGGACTGTGAGGTCTACCACACCGCCTGGGACCCAGCCACTGCGGCCCAGTTTGCCTTAGTGCGCGCTCATCGGCCCCCACTCACCTATACGGTGCAGGTCGCGGGGTGCCCCATCCCGTGGAGCATCACCGAGGCCCCGCTGGCTGAGGTGGCGCCGAAGCGGGACAACGTTACCATCGTCACGCCTACCACCATCACAGAGCCTGTGACGCCGCCAGCCGGTGGTGGCGGCTTTAGCCCCGCCACCGGCACACTCCTCACCAAAGCGGCCCAGAGCCCCTACCTCCACGACCTCATGACTGCCACGCCCAAAGGCAAGGGCGTCGCACCGCTCCTGACCCCCAAGGAGGAGCCTTCAGCCAAGCGCCACCGCTCCTCCAGCGGGAAACGTGACGCCACGCCGCACGCAAGGCCACCCTGCGCCCCAGGCCGCAGCTCCTCTGCACCCCCGCACGGCACGGACGGAGCCGCTGAACCGACGGCCGCCCCAGGACCAGGTGGCCACGACCCCCGGCTTGGCACGGCGGCGGCAGAAGGTGGGGGCCACACCGAAGGCGACGCTGCCACAGCCGCCGAAGTACCAGGTGACGTCGTCGACGTCGAGATCCTCTCATCAGGTGATGAATACAGCGTGGCCTCCCACGAACTCAACACCTTCGGCGAGCGCTTCGCATCGGCCTCTAAACCGCCCGATGCTGCCACGACCCGCATCCAGCACATGGAACAGCAGCACGAGCTGCTAGCCAACACGGTGGATAACATGCAGGTGCAGCTTGCGGGCGTTCTCTCCTCCCAGGCCACACTCACGGAGCACGTTTCAGGGCTGGAACGGGGGCTTGCCACCGTCGTCACCCAGCAACAGACGGCAACCGCCGACGCCGCTGCACTGCGCGGCGACATCCAGACCCTCCTCGGGCACCTCACGGGAGGCACCATCCACCTGCCACAAGCGGCCACTCTGGAAACTAAGAAGGAGGAAGCCGCAGCGGCCGCCGAACCCGTGGCAGCCTGCAGTTGGATCGACCAGCCAGGCCAGGCCACCCCAGGGACGGGGCCCCCAGGGGCCGACAAAGGCAAGGACAAGGGTCGGGCCACCCAGGAACCCTATTGAAGGTGCCTCAGAGAGCCCGCCTCAGCCCTCCGAGGAAGCGCCTTCAGAGGCATCTCTCCCCTCTTCGCGTCGTATCTCTTTCTTGTCACCTCATGTCTGTTTTGGCAGCAGCACGCGCAAGCTATCTGGTGTAGGGACACCCGTAGTCTTGCAGGGGGCGTGATTGTAGCAATGTACATGAGCATTCAGGGGTATTTGAGGACGTGTGCTGCCACGCAGCTTTCGGCTCATCGCTCGCGCCGCCCGCCAGGCCTCGCCAACATGTGGCGCCTTGCCTGCGGCCTGGCCCTCCCCTCGCTGGCTGGAGCACACCCGTCTTCAGGCGGTGCGCCCCAGCACGGAGGAGAGGCTTTCCTGCGACATGCGGAGCGTGGGACGCTCTTCTACCTTTACGATGACAGCATCTACAAATACGATCACAGCGCCATTTTGGACCCGATCGTGAACAGCACCGCCGCCGCGGGTCCGCGCGGCACCGGGCCGCTGGGCGCCATCGCGAGCGCCTGGCCTGAGCAGCACCAGGGGCCCCGCCCCACGCGCTGCCCCCCTGGGACTTCGACGGCTACTACGACGTCTACGACGAGTACCAGCATGTCTCCTACGAGCACGCCCTCGTCAACTACGACACATGCATCGCAGTCTGTCCTCAGCTTGTCCTCGACCGTCGTGCAGCATATCCTCGACAGGGCTGCTGGCAAGGCCCAGGCACGCAGTGGCGGCTTCAGCCCCGCTGTCGTGCCCCGCTTTAGCCCCACGAGTCCCACTACCCCTCTGTGCGCCAGGGGTGAACCCGAGGAGGACCTCGCTTTCTGGCACCTGATGAACATCCGAGCACGGCTCATACCGTGCGCCGCGGCGTGGGCACCAGGTGAGGACCATCAGGACGTGTGCTGGGCATGGCTCGAGGACTGCGTCCCGCACATCCTGGCGACGCTCCATCTGCCACAGTACGACCACTTTTTCCAGGAGGATTCCGCGGAGAAAAACGACGCCCTGCGCCACCGCACCGCGTTCGACATGTGCGAGGATATCTGGCACAGAGCGGGCCCCGACAGAC